CAAATTCAATTATGGATGTGTTGTCTTAAGAGCACAAACCAAACAGACGTGCTATGGAATTCCTGGAGGCCTGGCACTCCAACCAGAACTCCATCAACAAACACACTAACCTGGACCCAATATACAAACCACTGAAAAACAGAACCAGAAGTGATGCCAACCACCCCAGCAAACTGAGGCATATAAATAGCAAGCGGAACAGAACACAACGCTTTACCAGAGGCGCACTGTTGATGTTACCTAGCAGGGTGACGAAATATCTGCAAACAAACACACTGGCTTGGCAAGCAAGGCTACAACCTCGGCTACAACCCAAGGTACAAAACTTCTCAAAACTTTTAATTCTTCAACCCCTTGATCAACAGCTATCATTTTGCAAAGGAAGGGAATTAAGAAAACTGTTTCCACTGGTGAATTTTTGTTCAAGTTGAAATTTCAGGGAAGAGAGAAACTGTTAGGCAAACTGAATCTGTTGAGGATTGTTATGATTTAAATTATCATTTTTTCATTTTAAGGTTTCTTGTTTAGTTTTGTTTACAAGACCAGACTCTTCAAAACTGTATTAGCTTAACCTCTTGACATTTGAGTCACTTTAATACAATTTCAACAGTAAATGCATTTCCCTAATGCATTTGTTTCAAACAAATATACTTAATGTCATTGTTAGACTTTTTTAACCTGCATTTTTAATTGCATATAACGTGTCTTTCTCACCTAAGTGTTGCTTCTTTTTGAAGATACTGTTTTCTGTTTAGTTGAGGTATGGTGGTTATCCTCCAGTGCCTTGCTGAAGTAGCCATCAACATTGATCTGGAATGTAACCTGAAATGTGTTCTTAACCTATATGTTTTAATGTTGTATTCTGCTATCTCTTTGCCTTTTAGGCCATTGAGGAGCTCACTAATGGCAACTAACTATGTTGAAAACTTTTGGAATTGGTCTGTATTATCCTCATCAAAACATTCTTTGGCATTGATCTTTACAACCAGTTTGAGTTCTTTCTGGTTGGAGAGTTGTTAGTCAAGACAGCATTCTTCCTTATGATTCGTGGTGACATTGAAAATGGGTTCCGTTAGGCTACTTACCATTCTTGTTCGTAACGCTACTTAATGAATAAAAGCTATTCACTTGTTTCAATGTTTTACTTGATTCATGACCTCTCATGCTAGTACACCTTGTAACTACACTTGCGCCTCTTCCCATATTGAAAATGCTTATTAGGAAGAAGGTGGATAATGAGAATAACAGCAGTAATCATATTGGTTTCCAGGCAAACATTGTTTTTTCTTCAGAGCTGGCCTCAAGTGTTTACATTTCCTTTTAGATGTGAACATGAATCTTTCTTCCTTTATCAATGATGCTAATAAGGTGCTGGTCATATTTCTTTGTACAGTCTGTTAGTAAATGCAGCTGTCTACTGACAGTAACCTCCCTATTAAAGGTTGGCACTGTTTTTGGAGTTCTACTGGTGATACATGATTCTACTATTAATCATGGTTCATGATGGGAGAATACCAGTTCAGAAGTTCTGTGCAGATAACTTTAATGAAACATGTTGTCGTGGATATTCCCAAGATTTTTGACTGAATCTGGCTCTGATTTTCTGCTTATTGTATGGTAGTTGACCAAGGTGGTGTTCAAGCTGTTTGATTTATCGCCAATTATTTGTTTTACTGGAATTCATGGTACATTCTCGAGTTCTTAGTTTATGGATTCCCCAGAGTTCTGTCCCTTCACACCATTGCGATGCTTCTTTTGTAAAGATGTCCTTGCCTATGTATCATCAAAACATAACCAGTTTTGCTGGTGGGTCATATGATTTAATTTGGACTGTATACACTGCTTTCAATCTTCAGTCCTATTAAAGTGCAGCAGTTGAATAACTCCCTTCAACAATGCACTTTTTCACCTCCAAACTTGCACATTTAACAACGGATTTTTTTTTTGTGAGAGCCATGCTGTTGATGTTTCATTTATGAACTCTTTGCCTTTGTATGCCCTGTAACTTTTGCATGTCACCCCTACATCTCCTTCACTAAATTTTGTGCCAATAAATTTGATCATTATTCACTCAAGTTGAAAAGTTTAAAAATTACTCTTGCTCAAGAGTTAAAAGGTCATGTTTCTCAACTTTTCTCTCTCCTTTCTTCTCAGCTTAGATGTTGTAATATGGTTCCTTAGTTTAGCTTTGTGTTGAGTTTGACTAATTGCTGTATCTTAATCCAAGTTTTTTTCCTCTAGACCTCCATTCTGGAACTCTTAGTTCCCTTAGTTTTCTAAATCTGCTCTCTCTCTTTGAGCCACCGTACCGCCCTTTAATGGTTAGCACTGCTACCTCACAGCGCTAGGGACTTGGGTTTGATCCCAACTTCTGGTGACTGTCTATGTGGAGTATGCATGTTCTCCCTGTGTCTGTGTCGGTTTCCTCCCACAGTCCAAAGATGTGCAGGCTAAATGGATTGGCCATGCTAAATTGCTTGTAGTGTTCAAGGATATGTAGATTAGGTGGGTTATAGGGGGATGGGTCTGGGTGGGATGCTCTGAGGGTTGGTGTGGACTTGTTGGGCCAAAGGGCCTGTTTCCACACTGTAGGGATTCTATGATTGATTTTTCTGTATTTACAAGGTCAGATCAGGCAAGGGTCCCCACATGATTAATGTCATCCATGAGGATGAATGTGCTGGCTCCCCTTGTTTGTACACCTGCTCCCTTGGTCACAAAGTTAAAGATACCCCTCCATTATGGATGCTTTTCTCCCAGTCCAAAATGAATTTTAGAAGGAACTAATAAGCAGGTTTTCTTGTCCTCACAAAAACTAAACTTATTAATAAGTAAACATGAGAAGAAATAGTAACACAGCACATTTAATACAGATTAAGAATAAGTGAGTCTAAAAATATTTTTTAAATGCTACAGGCCAGTCTGAGTTTGTGAAGAATGAATTGTTGGAAGAACATTGTGTTTTGGTTGTTACTGGTAACATTGACGTTAGTAATAGATAAATTTCAAGGTACTTGGTTTTGCAGATCAAACGAAATTCTTTTATACTGATTCCTTTTTGACAGTGACTAGCTGGTAACACTCAGTGGGGAAGTAGCTTTTCCCTTTTGTTGCAGCAGTAATTAATGGCTATTTTCAAAGCTGTGACCTTCACATTCTGCATACTAGGACATCAGGCCAATAACCCTACCCCTGTGCATTCTTGAAGGGGGAAAATGCAAATGTACCTCCCCAAACAATTGTCTATTTTGTTAACATGTTTTTACCATCTATTTGGGAAAGTGAGTCAATACTCAAGCCTCATTAGTACTGGGGTTGTCACGAGGTTTAATCAAGTTACTCGATTTCCCAATAAGCTACTATTTATTACAAAGAATTCAAATCAATTCTAACCATAAATAAACAAGATTAATGATCAACACAGAACTCTGCTTGCTTCAACTCCATATACTTCCTAAAACCCTATACATAAAGACAAACATATCGAATACCAGACATAGTTAGAAAAGCACTGGGAAACAGTTCAATAGCACCAGTCAGCGTCATCCAGTGATCCTGCTTCCAATCTCTTTCTTTTTAGTTCTTTTAAGTCTTTGCTTATTAAACAGGATGTTTGATGTATTATTATTCAATCTTTCAGTTAGGGGCAACAGTTTCCATCATTTGATGTAAGAAATTAACTATCTTTCAGTTGTTTATTGTCAAGTTGACTCCTCATCTCCACATCTAGTTCTGACTATGCAAATCACTGCGCAGTCTGTCTCTGGGTGAAGCTTGCTGTGCGGACGCACACATGGTGTCATACTATCTTGGATATCTACCCCCAGAACCTGAAGAAAGTAACAGTGTAAATACCCACTCAGAGTTCCAATAACTTGTTATAGAAATGCAGAAGCTCTTTCCACAGGCCTTCAATTGAAGCAGTCCTCTTACCATTTGGACATGATCCAAAATAAAGAAAACTAAAAATGTGATCATTCACAGTCTGAGATCCTTACAAGAACATACAATTCAGTTTGTAGTGCATTTCTAACTTTGAAAGCTTCTTTGACATCTACAGTTGCAATTCCCCCCATCCCCACCCCTTCCACAAGACAGCCACTGGATTTACATCAGTTATTTTTGCTGTATCAGACATTTTATTTTCTCCCTTGAAAATAAAAGAACTAAAGTTTGATATGTTGGTAAGTGATCTGAGGTTATAATCCATGGTTGTGACTTGGGTAATCTGATTTTAATAAATAGTAAGGATTATACAGCAAACCATCACATTAATGAACCGACCCTCTCGATAAACCAAAAATTTTATGTACCTGAAATGCAAGAAGTTTACTGTACTATCGTGATCTCATGATATCCGAGTAGCCGGTTGAGGGTGCAAGTGAGAAGGCTGTGTACCGCAAGTTGCATTGTTAAAGTGCTTTATGCTGTAGATAAAGTATAACAGTGTGTATGCCCCCCACATTGCATCTCTATTACTTGGTGTTTTTAGATATTGGACCCCGTGATCAACTAGCACACTCCTGGTCCCGTAGGTTCTGGTTAATTTTGCTGTCCGATCTCTCTTGCACCGATTTGAGTTGCATTTTTAAGTGCACTTTGGTCACTAATTATTTGTAAGCAAATAATACACTGTTTTCAGTAAATATTTAGTAATATTTTTGGATTTTAGGGCAGTTGTCAAATTTACTTGAAGATATTGTTTATTTTTAAATTTAAATTGTAACAGATTTCTGTAGTAGTGGTGAAGTAATTTCCTTTTGTCATCAGTTCATCATAGGAATGACCCCACCAGTTAAAAGTCTAATTGGATTTCTTTCAAGCTTGCATCATCCACAAAATTCTATCAAATTTTTGTAGAAATTCCAAATTTAATTACAAAATATTGAAAAATAAGCCATTGAGTTCATACTATTTTGAAATCATCACTGGTAACTCTAACAGTCATAATTTGTCAGCTGTAATGAAGTTGTCAGCAAATGAATTCTGTTCTTTTCCAGGATCGAAATAGATTATATGACACTTTAAACATGCATTCACTGGAGAGTTCACTAATTGACATCATGAGAGCGGAACAGGACCCACTAAAAGGTAAATTGAATGTTTCATAGCTTTTACAATAGTCATTCAACTTGTAATACATCAGAAATTTTTCCTTTTATCCCCTCTGTGTTGGAAAGGGCTTGACACCTACCTGCCCATGGTAACATGGCTGAAGTCAACATCTTGATGTTTTTGTGACGATTACATGAATCTCTTACAGCTCTTGATGTGATTAACATTTAAATTAGCAGATTTCAATTTGTGTGAAAACTAAATTTGGTTGTGTGTGTATAAATCATTTGGACCTTTAGATTGGCTGACTGGTGAGTTCTCTGTAGTGAGAGATGATAATAGAAGCAATAGTAAAAATGTCAGGTAAATTTTCACTTTGCTGCATAGGCATGAGTTCTGTTGATCCGTGACACGTCAACAGCTTGTTTAGTTCTGTTCAGTGCTGTTGAGCATACCAAATTAAGGAACACCAGCAAATGAACAGTCTTGCACCTGTAAAAGTTTGGTTTTGTTATCAGAATCAGGAAGACAAATGTCATGCTTCAAGATGTTGCCATATATCCATCAATTAGAATTGCGAATATGATGCTACAGGTTCATATGCTCTATTATTACCAGCTTTATCACCTGGTGCTGAAATTACCTTGTGAATTGCAAAAGCTCTAGCTGTTATGTCCAAACTGAGTACGAAAGATGGAATAACAGCAATCTGACTGAACATTTAAACTGCAAATTTACTAAGCCCATGACTGCAGTGCGCTGCTGTAGAATAATTCTGAAAAAGTAGAAGCATGATCCTAAGATGGCTGCAGTGGTCACTTGATCACAGACAAGGTTGATGAGACCCATGTGAAGTAACCAAAGCTAAATCAGCAGTAGAACCTGGAAGGCTTCCTGCTGCCTCACTTATAGGAGTCCTTAATTAGCCGTGCCCTCTTGTTTAAATTATGAAGGACTTGTAAATAATATAGCCTTGCTCTCCCTGCCTGTACCAAACTCTTGTTTTTAAACGTGTATATTGCAATTTTTTTCTGGATTGTATAATAAAATTCCTCACTGTTTCACTCCAGAAAATCTTGGCAATTAGCTTTGTTATTGAACAAGCTGTTTTGTTTGAAAGCTGTATGCTTAAACAAATGTTATGACCGATCAAGACGGTTTTAAAAACCCCTCGTAGTTGTTGTTAGTTCTTGCCAGTCACCTGTTACAGATGGTCATTCCTGAATAATACTCATGTGGGGACAAAAGTACACCGTCCATGTCAAGTGCAATAGGTTCAGTTCAGATGTCACAACCGAAAACTGTCAAATGTGATCTTCTATGGGATGGCAGCAACAGAATAGTATTCAACCAAAGTCTGTAACCTCATGGCCTGGTATCTCTCACTTTGCTAACGGCATCTCACCAGGCTGATGACTTTTTGGTTCTGTGTGGTATGCAGGACAATATGCCAGATGCAGCACCATGCATACCCAAGAGATTTGAAACTACAACACAGGACTATGTATATGTCAAACAGTGACCGAGGTATGTGATAGACAAGCTAAATGAACCTACAGCAAGTAATTCAAACCAAAGCACTCTGGTGCTAGTGGATCTAGTCACAAATAAAATTGTGCATTTAATTAATTGAACAGTTAACAGGAGCAGGCCAGAAACCTTCCCCAAATTCAATTTGGCATCTTTGTGCAAAAGCCAAGAAGAAAACATGTGCAACCATCTTCGAACAGGAGTGCCTTGTAGCTAATCAATCTTTACCTCCTCAGGAAGTTGTCTGTATCACATCAATCTTTAGTCAGTTCATTTCACAATATGGCAAGAAACTGCTGAAATCACTGAAAAGTAAAATTTCTGGGCTCAGACATCACTTGGCTATTACCGTGAAGGCTTGTGTGCTTGAAATAGCTGTGCCACAATGCCAAGCTGCTCCACTACAGCTAAACATTTGCATCTGTGAGATAGTACGGAAATATATCAGATATGTGCAATCAGTTACCACCCCATAATCTTGATCTGCAAATTGGTGAAACATTCAGTGATAGTTCAGCTCTGGCAGCATCTGTGAAGAAAAAAAGTCAGAGGTAATGTTTCGGGTCCATTGACCCTTCCTCAGAACTTGAAATGTTAACTGATTTTTTTTTTCTTCACGGATGCTGCCAGACCTGCTGAGTTTTTCCAGCAACTTTGTTTTTCCTGATTTACAGCATCCTCAGTTCTTTCGGTTTTTATATCAGTGACAGTGTCAAGTCAAATCTGTTCACTGGTGCTCTGATTCCTACAAAAACCATGTAAAATAGTAGCATATGTAGACCATTGAATCTTTCAAACCTGCTCCATCGTTCAGTAGGATCATAGCTGATCTTTGTGCTCAGAATTCCACACTACCTTCTACTCCTGATACCTTTTGATTCTCATGCAGAATGATTACTTTTAAGACAGAAGTGGATGCCCACTTCGGAGGCAGAATTCTAAAGTCTCTCAGTCATCTTGAAGGGAATCTCTCCTTGTGTCTGTAAAATCTTAAAGCATTTTCCTGTAGCTCTAGATTGATCCAGAAGAGCAAACCTTTCTTGCCCATCCACTTTATCAAGTCCATCCAGTATGTTTATACTTCAAACAAGTTACCCCTCACTCTTCTAAACTCCAGTGGAAACAGTCCCAGCCTATCCAACCTACCTCAAGGCAACCCAATCATTCCAAGTTTTCAGTACCAGAAGTCGTCTTGCTTTCAACATACTTAAATCCTTCCTTCAATAAGGAGACCAAAAATGTGTTCACAATTTTGAGATGTGGTCTCTGAATGCCCTGTACAACTGAATCATAACAACATTCTTAATTTTATGATTTCCTCCCATAAAGAATAGCAACCCTTTAGCCACCTTGATTGTGATGTACCTGCATGCAATCTTTATGGATCATTACTAGATCACTTCCGTTCAACGAATATTTGCAGAAGTTCTCCATTTTAAGTAATTTTTCTTATACTTCCTGGCAAAGTGAACAACTTCACATTTTTCACACATTTATATGTCATCTAACAAATGTTTGCCCACTTACCAACCTATCTGTATATCGTTCTCCATACTTTGCTACTTTGTCATTTGCAAATTTAGCTACCATGGTTCCTCTTCCCTCATTTAAGTCATTGTAAGTAAGCGTTCAGCCCCGGAACTTTTGTTCATGTTCCACCCAAGGTTGTAATTAGGTCTGAATGAGAGCGATACATTAATCGGTGTTGTTGCCATCACTGAATCTAAGATTTTTGCATGTAAAAATTGCCTAGTGTACTTAAACTCGTAACTAGCCAATGTTGCTTTATTTTGCTTTTTACTTTACCTTGTAATACATGAGCAAAGCCAAGAAGATAACTAATAAATATATGTTAGGTGACATGAATTCCCTAATCCCAAAATGATGAGGTAAACCATTATTTTGGAACGTAAATTGGATGTGCCATGATGTGAAGGCAAAGCCATGGAGAGTTCACTTAGGCCATCATCAGTAACACCATCAAGAAAAATAAAGATAAGATAAAAGCTAATGGCTGAAGTGCTACAAAGATTTCCTGTACTGGGTACAATTTGTTAGAAGGTGGAATGATTATTGTGTATGTTGACAGAAGACCAGAATTGAAGGTGCATGCCTGTTAACAGCTGATTTTCCAAGGAGAGGCCAAATTTAATGCCCTGAAACTGAAAAGAGAACTTCTGTGACTGTCAAAACATTTCCTGCAAACCGTGGTTGGTTTGGTAGATTTGAAAGATGCCATAGTCTGCATGACATCTGGATGAGTGGTTAAGCTGTAATTGTGGACAATATAATAATTAGTAATTACTGAGTTGAAGGCCATCATGAAGGGAGAGACCATACCACAAAATCTTTTAATGTGGGTGAGACAGGCTTTGTTGAAAAGATAATGTCTAGTAGGCAGTTTCTTTCAAAGACAAAACTGCACCAGAATTAGTCAGGAAACAGTTGATTGACTTTGACTTTGTTATTGGGTGATAATGCAGAGAGGGTGAGTTCAGGGTGCCAGTGAGTATGCTTTGCACATGAATTTTCGGTAGCTTTTTGTCTAGCTGTTAAGGAATATTGTACTTGAAAAAATATCGCTCCAAAAGCTTTGTTACTTTTGGCTAATGCCCCAGGGCATCCTTTTGAGCGTGAACAGCACCTCTATTTGAAGTTGTTTCTAAAGTCTGTTTAGAAATAGTGCACCCTTTCCCACCTGGATGTTGTGTTGATTATATTTGTGTAGTGTGCATTGTTTTAGTTACTTACGGCTTAAATGTGAAATATACATTATTTGCACTCTGGCTGAAAATTTTGGGTTAGTAATGCATCTCCTGAACTTAGGTTATTTTAAATGAAAAGCTTGCTTCAGTTTCAGTAGTAATTTAAATCAAGGCATTCCTGTCCTCCCCATATGCCTAGATGAGCGCAACTCCAACAAAACCTGAAGCAAAGCACCGTGGTGGACAAAGCCTGATGGCACCCTATCTATAATATTAGGTATTCATTCCCTCCACCAGCAAGGTCACAGCATTGTGTATATTTACAAGACATATTGTAGAAATTTGTAAACAGGTAACACCTTCCAAACCCATGACTCTACCACTTAGATCAAAGGCAACAGCGAATGGGACCATCGCCAACTGCAAGTTCTCCTCCAGGCCATTGTTACACCCAGGCCCTGTAAAGTGAGATTAATTTGTTTTCCTTTATTCACCTGCTCTCTTCATTTGTCACAGGGCTACTTTTAGAAAAGATCCCTCTCTTTTGGATGCCACTTCTGCCAAACCAAAAGGAGCTAATTTAGCTAGGATTTTTTGAGTTCACAAAAGTGATATTAGTTAAGTACAAAATAAATAATTATGCTACAGACATGCACATAAGATTATAAGAAAGAAGTAAGCTCAAAAAAAGTTATGAATCAGCCTCGCTGGGTGGTTTATGATGAGCGGATAGTCTAGCAGTCAATTTCAATATTCTAGGCTTTGCATGTAGCTGAAATCCTTTTTGGCCTGTTTCATTTT